TGTCTTTAAATGGAGACTTTCCTGTAGGTTCGTGAGCGTCAGAGGAAAGTTTATCTTTAGCCTCTGTTGGAATCTCAGGGACAGAGAAGAAATTATCAAAGTCCTCCCTAGCAAACTGGAAATACGTCAAGGCCCTGGGTGGGTAAGGATGCCATTGTTTAGCACTGGCGAGAACTTTAAACATCTCGACACATGAGCGGTCGAGTGGAAGTTCAGGAAAATCGGCATTGATGTCTCCAACCTAGCAGGGTGATGCTTGAAGGAAGCATGTGAAGAGGCCTCAGTCGTAGACTGATTTAAAGGCAGGCCTAATATTTTGCTCATATCCTCCTGAAGAAATTGGAGCCGTGCCTCAGGAGGGTTAAGGTTGGCTGCAGAGGAAATATCCTCATCTTCAGAGGGCGTATCCCGCTCCATCCGCAGTTGATCCGAGGAAGGAGGAACATCATCATGTCTTGTTGGGTGGCTAGGGGCCGGAGCAGGAGGTGAGCTGTAGTCTGCGCCAGAACCTGGATAAGTCAAAGAGGCGAAACCATCATATGGAGTTCGGAACATCGATGAACGCAGGTTCGGATGTGGGTTCCGTGTGCGGATCCGGGTGCAGATGCGAATCCAAGTCATGTAGCACTGGCGAAGGGTCCGGATCTGGGGCCGTCACCGTGGGAGCAGAGTTGGGCTCTGGACAGCTGGCTATAGAAGAGAGCTTCCCGAAAGCATGCGGACCGCTGACATAATGTCGGCCGACATGTCCTCCTTCTGCGAGGAGTGAGACTTCTTACGCTTAGACCCCATAAAAGAAGACAAAGAAAGTTTGCATTTCTCGTGTAAGGGTGAACTGGTTGTAGAGCCAGCGGTCGACGCCTGGTGAGTTGGGGCATCGGAGGCATGCCCTGACTGCAGTAAAGATACAGCAGGAGAGGGCTGGGGTAGAAGCAGTCTTCTCAGAAAGGCTTAGAAGGAAGCCGGAAGACGGGGTGACATACGGGGATTGAAAACCCTGACGGCGCAGGAGGCCGGTGGGCACTCTTGTCCCGGAGCGCGGGTGGTGGTGGTGAGCCCGCATGGCCCGGTATTGTTTCTGCAGGTACCGCACCGGGGAGCAGCGTTGTGTTGTCACGGCAAGCGTCAGCATCTTTGTCATGGCCAGGTGCCCTGATTGAAAGGGTGTCTGAAGACAATGGCACCAGGGGTGATGCGGCAGGTGTAGCTAGCGTTGGCGGTGTAGGGCCGCTCCGGCGCGTATACTTGTGAGCCATGCCAATGTCGGGTGTTGCCCAAGGTTGCTTGTTGTCGACCCGTGTCACCCGTTTGAAATGCTTAGGGACTGGGATGCAGAAGTGTTGCGCCCAGGCCCAGCAAGTGGGGGAATCTAAGTCCCAAGTGCAGCGCCACTCTGCACTATTGTTGACTGCGATGCTTTGGTGTTACGTTGGGGAACTGAGCATACGGATATTGCATGCACTGCAGCTCAGGCCCTTCAAGCGTGGCGTGGGCTAACCTTAAACTGAACCAAAGATAATATTGCCAGCAGGGATTAGCAGTGGGATCACAAGTTTAGCTAGATGCCACTCGATCCTCCGCAGACTGACTCCTGTTGGTCTAAGGAGAAGGTGGGGTCGCAAAATTCAGAATGCTGGCACTTCCTCGCGAACCCCAACAAAACTAGGGTCCCCCAATTGACCCTATAAATATACCAAGGAAAGAGGGGGACTGCGGAACCCCCAATAATCCCAGGGTCATCCCGTTGACCCTGTGTATTGCTTGATAGTAACAGCATAGAGTCAATTACCTATAAAATGCACACACACGAAAAGAGAAAATATACCACCAAAATGAGAAAATATGCACATAAACTAAGAAATGTAGAATGTACGTTTATTACCGTGTTACAGTTTGATCAGAATGTCACAAAGGTGTGTAGCAAAACGGAAACTCAATAAACTCGAAGATGTCAAAAAGACATGTCTGCTTAGAATTACGCTAAGGAAAAGAAGGATAAATATCGCGGCCATTCTGCTATGCTTCATGGGACTTGAGGGCGCACTACAGTTGATCAGAAGATTTAGCGAATTGAATCGGACGCAAAGGAATTTGCATATTTAGGGACTGTTTGGGGTAGGTTGAAAGCAGAAGACAGGTAATTGTGTCCTTTAATTCATTCAACACAACTCTGTATTTTTAGTATAATGAAAATTTCACATTTTAAAAGATATTTAAAGTGGAATTTAAAGATTAAAACTATGGAAATTGTAACTTTTTGTTGGCAAGTCTGCTGAAGCTTGTGTCTTCATAAACATGGGAAGCAATAATAGACACAACATGTTATTTATGATGATGGGAAGTAGAGTCAGTCACAGTCCAGCCATGTAAGTGGACTGTTTGTGATGTAATCTGTATTTTATCATGGCCTGGTCCACCAATTACACTAACCCACATCGGTTACATTTAAAATGACTAACATTTAAAGATTATTACAGTATCATGAACTATAGACCATTTCTCTTGTAATTTAGATGACAAAAAAGCCTAGCCGGCCAGAAAATAAAGCCCTCGGACAAAAGCAAGGAGAAACTGATGAACTCATTCCAGGTGGCAATTTTTTTTTTCTGTATATTCGCTACGGCCCATAGGAAGTGCATAACAGTTAATGAATAATTCATGTTCGCTGCTCAATGCTACTTTCGCGCGTGTTGTACACATGTACACATGTATGCACGTGCTGGCCTCACATTGGGTTCTGCTCTAACAAATCATCGATTGTCACAGTCGTTCCTATCAAGCATGTATTATTTACAGTCACAGTGACTGTAAATAATACATGCAAAACAGTAGTATGAAGTTGAAAAATCTTGGGACCGATTTCTTCAGTTGCTTTGCATTTACTAATCATGGGAAATGGCACTCTACAAGAAAATGAAATGTTAGTTTTTTGGCTGACGTGGTTTACATGTAAATTAATAAGCTCCTCCCATGTTAACTGAAATACGTCCACAGGATAATGAGGAAATAAGAAACAAATTCGGGCCAATGTTATGTGCATATAAAAAAGTCAAGAAGATGAATAAAAAAAATATGCTTGAAATACGATGTCAGGAACCTGTGGGCACACCTTGGGGATTTTATATGTTTGCTTGGTCGTGTGTCAGGCTAGCATTTAACAGTGGTACATGATAAACAGAAAAAATGTCTGGTGTAAATTTTTATTCAACCAAAGGATCAGTTTACAGGTTGCATCCATGCTAATAAGTTATCGTACTATGAGTGTAATAACTTATTTGAATCTGTTTGCGCTGATTTCTGAAGAAATTACTGAAGATTACTGTACGACAAATGTTCTACAGTCCTTTTTTTAGTAACGCATTAGGCTTACGGTTTTAAAAAATCTATTTACTGATTGCAGCCTATGTTTGTACACATATTTGCATCATCTCTACTGGAACATTAAATGGCACAGATCCACATGGGGGGTGCAAGGGGAGTGGAGTGGACCCAGGGGTTAAACTCGCTTGCTTTTTGAGACCAACAAAAATAATTTACAAATTAGTTTACAACAATACGTAAAAGGTAACATCCAACAAGGGTTGTTATTTTGAGTAGATCAATAATATAAAGTACTCAGCAATAAGAAAAAATGTGATGGGCAAGACCGCCCTGAAAAAATCACGTATATAATTATAAAAACATACAGAATTCAGCGAATTTGTGCCTTTAATTTGGGAAATGTTTTAAGGAAGAAGTCTTCTTTGCCAATTTGATGACAGTTTCCAGCAAGTGTATTGAAAAATTACAAGTGTTATTGAGCTCATCTGTCTTCGACAGCTCATCGATCCAGATGACTGCGTAGAGTCAACTGTAATGTCGAAAAATGGCATTTCATGGTATTAATTCAAATCATTTGGGTCAGTTTCAAGTTTTAACATCAGAGTGACTCTTAAAAAAACAGTGCTTGCAAGAGTGTTTTGTAATTATGATTTTGTCTGTCAGATTAGAGTACCCAGCCACCAGACAGTCATTCGTGTGGGTGTAAACGTCCATTATTGAAATGATGAATTTTTGAAGAATTTTGAAAACTGAAACTCTTGAAAGTGTCCCATTTGTGTGCACTGCATTTTTCAAACCACCCGACAGCAAGTGGTTAAAGAATAATATGCCACTGAAAAAAATAGTACAAAATTGCTGGCAAATGATTAGAAAGATTTGGCTAGCCATTACAAAAACCTAAACCATTCTCTAAAACGCTGCTGGATGTAGTGCTCAAAATCTCCATTCCCGATGTTTGTTTTACCATTGTCACCATCCCAACTCAAAATCACATCAAAATTAGCCCTAAACCCCAAGCTGTATGTAAAAATCACATTGAAATCGAAGGATTTGGGACTGGAGGCTATGAACTAAGAACATTTGATTTTCATTGAGAACCATATTACATGTCTTGCGCGTCATTTTTTTGCAAACATGTGGCATTACTTGTTTATCCTTAGTATCGGGTGAATATTTTCCTCTGAACTTGGAAGTAGCCTTGGTGGCTTTCGAAGTAATTTTTGCTGTACTTACCAGTAATTACATGTGTTGTAATTGTGGAATATTTTGCAATTGAAGCTGACTTGATTTACACTCCTGTAGTTCTATTTTCTTGTGACTGTACCTTCATAGTGTTTGGTGTTTTGGCATCTAATATAGTTGTTTTAATCAAACTTTAAAACAATTCTCTGACGTCAGTTTTTATGAATATCCTCATTTGAGGAATTGTACAAAGCTATGAATGAGTGAACCTCCGGACTGTAAATAGAAAATAAAGTATTTTTGGAAGATAAATTTGTGTGTTTGGCTTTGCACTGATTTAGTTCTCACACACTTTCAGTATTAGGATATTGGGATTCCCTCGGTACTGAGTTTTAAAAATTGTCCTATTCAAACTTTATTCTAATCCAGCTATTGGAGATACATGTACATGCCCATGTATTTTTTCCAAAGGACTTTCTTATTTATTCTGTACAGGAAGTACCGCCATACTGCATATAGGCAGCTGACACAGTGGTGTTGGGGACACTTTGGACGCATGGTACATGTACATGTTCCACTTCCAGCGTGTGCTGTTCATCTCATCAGGGAGGCCTTTCCATCTGTGGACAGCGTTTGGATTAATGAAGTTGAGTCAGACTAATGTAAACCAACATTTTAAACGGGGATGTAAAGTTGGTTTTTTGACATGGTGAAAACTGTGGAAACTGCATGAGTGTATGTGCACATACACAAGATACATTTAGTAAATGCATATGAGACACAAAAATGAAGAGATTGTGTTACTTGAAATATTGTTAGATCACTAAATGAATCTAAATAAAACAAAAATGCATCCCTGTTTAATATGCAAGACAGACTTTACTTACTGCCACACATTTTGATGTTAAACTTCTGAGGCCGTCACATTTGTCAGATCTATACTTTCATATTACATGTACATGTATTCTCACTTTGATTCTGTGACTTGGATTTAATACGCTCTGTGTACTGTAAAAACTATGTGTATTCACTGATCACATTCCCAGTTTTAGATATTCTATGCAAATTTCTTTCAACAGTTCCAGGTTTCAACAGTGCTTAAGTAAAAATACAGCAACCTGTCCAAAAAGTTCCCAGTGAGAAAAATATAATATAGCAGTTAATGGCAATTGTTACCTCTGCCAAAAAAACCCAGTTTGAACATGACACGCTAGTAATAAGTATCACACATGATATTGGGTGTATTTGATACAAATAAAAGCATACAGAAAACTGAGTGTCAATATTGACTTTTACAAACTGCTTTGCATACTTTGTATCATATTACTGTGTACATGTATGTATACAGTCGAACCTCAATAAGAGCACTGCTTTCTGTTATGAAAAGAGTTTTGGCTAGAGTTTTCCACTCCTGTTAATACATGTACAGTGTACAAGGTTCCTGTTACAACTATGTTATTTTTTAAATTTTCAAGGACCTCTTTGTTAAGAGGTTTGACTACCTTTCAAGAATATCAAATCTTGATAAATACATGTATAAACCAAACAGCAAGGACTCCACTAATTTAAAAGTAATAAAATCTGTTATGGTTGCCATAATTTAGTTTTCGCTTGCTTGATTGGAATTCTCAACTAAATCAAGTTTAGTGTGTTTGATATTATATTAAGCACAATGTAGGTGCCCAATCCAACTTGATCCAAGACATGAAAACGTATTGACTGTGAAAAATACAGAAGTTTCCAACTGCCTTTTGAACATTAGACACAGTAAACTGATAGGAATTACAGTTGTTTCATTTTGACTTAAATCGGCTTTGTTGCTTCGCTATCAAATCCTCCTCGTTAGGGACCTCGTACTTGCAAGAGGGGGTGGCACTGGCTTGACATTGACAGGGATGATGCCGTGGGCGCAGCATCTAACAACTTCACTGACCACTTCCTTGACATAACCTGCACATTAGAAATATATTTTGACTTCACTGCTCTGTATCAAAGAAAAAGCTCAATAACTCACATATACATGAGAAAGCCTTGAGGAATGTTCCAAGAATGTGGTACAAATATCAACTTTTATAGGAGACCATAACACAAGCAACCTGGTAATAAATTACCCAAAAGAGCTGTGTATTCGAGTGCCCAAGTAACTTCCAATCAGAAGCAGACACAAGTTTGACTAGGGAAGGATGAAGGAACCGAGGGAGCAAACTGATGACATGTTAACTCATGTACCTGAACAAGCTGCAGATCGATGATATTGTTGTGATTGAGCTCCAGGGCAGTGTAACAGCCATGATTGGCCAAATGCCCAGGGCTGTCTACCTTCCCATCTCCTCTGATTGTCAGTGGTTTCCCAGATTCCTTCAGCCTGCTCAGGAGTAGCTTAACATGGTTGGACCAGGTCTTTTTAATTGCAGGCAGCAAAAACCTTTGCTGGTGGGTGCTGTACGTCCTTACGGTGTGTGTAACTATGCCAATGCTGTTGACCAGGCGCAGCACTTCAGTAGGCCCCTGCCCACCTAAGAGGATGGCAGCTGACACGAGCAGATTTCCTGCTTGAGTGGTAGAGAAAATGGCTGCGACTCCCACTGGCTCTGTCTCTTGCAACTGAGGCAGTCCTCGGTGACTGTCAGGCAAGAGCCAATTATTCGCTTCTCGATCTCCACCCTGGAGGAACTGCACTTGTGACAGTGTTTGAAAAGTACCATGAGTGAGCCCTCAAGCACGATGTACTTTGGTTGGAGGTGAGGGCTCACATCAGCTTGTTTTCTAAATGCGGTCCTCGGGCTTCGTCCTCTCCTAGTAAAGACACAAATCAGAGATGGATCGTTATAAAAACTTTTAATGCAATAAAAAAGTTTATGGCATTATATGGCGCCGCAAGTTTTTTTTTTTCATGAACTACTGCCTTCTTCAGCCCACAAAAAAAGGTTCCCTTTCGAAAGTCAAACAGTATTTCCAATCTCACATTTAACCCTCTAGCAGCTAATTAGCCACATAATTGCCACACCTCTGTATACCGACTCAAAGAAAATTACTCATGAGTAGCTGTTCCTCCCACCAGTATCCTTCAATTGCACTAGCAAACCCTTTCATTTATTACCTTCTTCTCGTTTGGCTTACGTGTTTTCCCAAAGAGTCAGATGATGATGATGATGAAGAGAGGTATTCGGGGAGTCATCCTCTGGCAACTCACACTCCTCTGGTTCATCTTCAGGTTTGCCCGCTTCTCCCAGTTGCTCAACAGGGCCCTCACAAACCTCCACTTGTCCCTCATCATCTAAGATTTTACAAAGACATCCGACAGAAGTCACTTTGACTGGTGACTTCCCAGAGTCTGTAATAATGGTCAAAGGAAGACAAGGCAAATTTCTTTATGTACAACTGATAACACAAATTGCTTTACACCAATTTTTTTTAATGACAGGCTAAATAAGTAGTCTCACCAAAGGATTACAAAATATTATTCGCTATGCTTGACAGTAGAACAAGAATGCATATAAAGCACATTGGAACAGCCCCAAAAATCTGGATTTTATTGATGCTGTCGTACCTGGATGGGTTAAAGGATCAACCAAAGTCTCTATAGGATTCGTCTGGCATTGCAGTGCTGCTCACAAATTTGTCATGATAAGAAAATAACAAAAAGATAAAAATAACAATCGGAATTATCACTTCCTAATACATGTACATGTGTAAAGAAACAGCTTTCATACAGACAAACTACATACTGTATGGGAGACCAAACACATTGAAACATAGCAAAAACATATATGATGTAACCCCCGTCCCAAAAGAAGTCTTGAGTTACTATTTCAACTTTTTTTCTTTTGACTGTAATTTTTTTTTGCATAGTTAAATTGTTCTTTCCTGAGCTTTTGACTTTTCTACTGGTAAGCATTGTTTATACTATTGTGTGTCTTTTCTGGGGTTTAGTCATTGCATTTTTTCCACAATGACTCTTGTAGTAAATTGTGAAAACAAGTGTACGGATTGATTTTATGAAGTCTGAACTTTGGGATAATTTGAGAAGTCCTAGCAAATTTACGATGTTGAAGGTTTTGGTACATGTATATCGTAATTTCCACTAGCCAGTAATATTCTGAGACTGAATCCAAAAGAGATGTTTCCTCGGAAAGCTTTCCTTTTACATTTAGCTTAACATACATGTTAAGTGAATTATTTGAGGTAGTTTCAGTGCACTTTTCAATCACTTTAACTTATAACTTAGTGGAGGCTGAGAATAAGTTGTGCCCTTCACTGCATTGAGAAATATGAGCAGATTTTGAATGTATGTGTACATGTAAGTCAGGACTTTTCATCCATCACATCCATGGTGTCAGTGATAGACTGACTGTAGTCCTACAGTCTGGACTGATGCTTTTGTAATGCTTTTCTGATGACTATGGTTTATTTGAACAGGGTTTGTGAATATTCGATAGATTCTGAGGTGCGTTGATTTATCAAAAGTTAGAGATATGAATTGTCTTTTGGTCAAGCTTTAGACTTTGATTTTCTGAGTTGGAGTTTTCACCAATTAATTCCTACCTCATGATTCGTGGGACTGAGAAATGTATTCCTAGGGTGACCCTGTATAGTTTTAAGATTTGTTCTAAGTCAGTGCCTTAGATATACCTTTCCTTTACGTGCTTACTTACATGCAAGATGATATTTTATTGTTAGGCTTTCTTACACGATGTACAGCTATACCAAAGCACGTAACCCATAGAAAGGCAGTTGTGTTGGTCTGACCCTGTAAATGTTTTTATATTAGTAATGTGGCATGGATCACTATGCTCTCTATCTTAGTTACTGAACTACACATTCTGAAAGAGGGTCTTGAGGGGAGTCTCTGTAGTCCACCTGAAGAGCTGTCCCCAGGCATCCCAGCCACTGAGCTATTGTGACTTGCAGACACAGCACAAGTACACCAAGGCATCTGCGGCACAAATCATCAGCATCAATCTTGCAAGATCCGCAAATATTCCTTTGCGTTACATTTCTTCTGCTGAACTTTTGCTCTTCACTTTTTGTCAACCGGCTACCAACATGACGGACTCCTGTTCTCCCACCTTGGAAGGACTCATCACAACTCATCTCTACATCGGGAACTTTAGCGCCATTTTTTTTCTTGAGCTCAAAGTGTATTCTAACTTAACTGGATCCTGCACTTTCTGTAAATCTCCGATTTTAATTTATGGCCACCTGAATTGGTGATCTCTGGATTCACTTCATATTTCTCATATTGACTGGTTTGTCTATTCCCTCCAATAAAGCAAAATCTCTTTTGTACGTAAATCTTGAATTGTGTGAGGTCAAGAGTTTTTTCAAAAGGGGGTTGGTTCCTGCTATTTTGAAATGTGAACCACGGGTTACATATATACTTTCTCACTTTTCACTCCCACCAAGCTTCAACTATTGTACCATTGTACCCTGGAGCTACAAAAAAGGATTGTACCCACTCATCATGCTTGTGTAAAGGTGCCCTATCATACCACTTACACTCTGTCACAGATTATAATGAAAGACAAAGAAAATGCGCGCCTGTCCAAAAGGATAAGGTTTACTTGTGCAATGCATGTTGTTGCAAAACTGTCACTTGACCAAGAATGTACATGTACCAGCAGATTTCTTCCACATCACAAAGAGGACAGTTTTCGTTTTCCAGAAAAATAATCCCAACAGTGACAAGAAAAAAATCATCCCAAACAACAAACACCTAAACACCGAAACTGCAGAGATGTCTAGCCCACCCCCAATAATTGGTTGTTTCTCATTCCCAAATGAAGATTGGCCTACAAAGAATTAGCAAATTGATCTGCGGTATGATCACCCATAGAAAATGGAACGACATACAAGTACGAGTTAGGCCTACAGTACGGGGAAAGAGTGTAGGATGTATACAAATTATGCTTGGACTGCATGTTTTTTTGCAAGCCACAGTGATTTGATTACCACCAGGACTGTTACTGAATTTTGTGAAATGAGTGGAAGCGCAAGATAACTGTATGAAAGTCTTCCAACTGGGGATTGGCATGGCCATGCCAAGGCAAGCTGCATGTGACATGTACGTGTATGTACAATGTACACATATTATACTTCACATATCGCTACGTGTACGTGTGCGCACCAACCCTGGTGGTGTTGCGTAATCATCAGCAACGTGCGTATATGCTCATGTGGTACAAGAACTGCAACAATTATGATACAAAATAAGCAAAAAATAAATCTGCAAAATCTATTCTGTTGATCTGTCTAGCACCACAAAACTCATGAAGTAAAACCCATAACGCTTAGGCCTGTTTTTGACTCAATAGAATGCACTCATACTGAACGACCGTACACTATCCACACGTCATGTACAGTACATGTACATTGCACACGTGGCCGTGCATGGGAAATGGTGGAAGAACTTACCCTGATTTTTTCGCGTTTGGCGAAAGCTCCTCGTAGATGTGGCCATTTAGAGGCCTTCTTCAGACTCTTTCCTTTTCTTGAAGATGGAAATAGGGTAGGCACAGCATCCATCTTCAGCATGTTTTTAATGTCATGCCAAACAAAGAATACATCCCGGCCTTGACGCACGACGGCTCATAGTGGTCGCTGCACTGGGCCGAAAACTTTAAAGGGCCGGCCCACTTTGCCCTTGTGACTTTCACTTTGGCCGTCCAAATTCTCCGGTATTTTGGATCAGAAGGAAACATGTGCAAGCTCACGCCATCACTGGTAGTCTTGCTGCACCAGCAGCAACACACCTTGTAGGTATGGCCGAGAAATCAGGTTTTTAGTATAAATTTACAAGGATCACGAAACTTTTCTAGCAGCTCAACACGTGTCAACAAACCTGGCAGCGCAGCAAGCTTGTGCCTCTGTGTATGTCACATCCCACGTGAAGATTTATGCTAATGAGGTTTGAGTTTTGCAGACTGCGGACCTGACCGAACTTTCAAAATCAAGTATTGCCTTCATATTTCATAGAACCTGTCAAATACCAGTACATGTGATCTAAATTTGTTGATAATGGTGTCCCAGTAAAGGTTCCATCATATTTTTACATGCACTGTTTATCTTGTGTCAATAAGACACAGATTAAGTCAACTGAAATTTGCAGGCCAGTCCCATTTTTGTCGAAATTGAAAGAAATCGGCAGTCTATACGCCCAAACCACTACTTCTTAACTTGAAATTTCAGTATTTTTAGCCATAGTTTAATATGAACAAAATTGAAAAGGGTGAGGTTAAAACTTCAAAAAAAATGTTTGATTTGGCACAGAATGACCCATGGAAAAGGAAAGTGAGCATTGATAGAGCTCACCTTGAGACCAGCATGCTCAGCCACGGAGTAAGCATCTACACCTGTGATGTAAATCCCCAGACTAAACTCATGACCTCCCCTGATCATCAGGCCCAGGCTTTGACCATCATCAACAAGAAGGTTGACCTGAAATACATTAGAGAAGAGTAAAAAAGGATAATGAAAAACTTCAAACAAATACACATGTACATGTATGCATTTACAGTTGTACATATATGCGCTACCAACATGGTAAGATCTGTGTTGTACATGTACATGTACGATATATGTACATATCCAGCAGTGTTGGATTTCCCCTATATTGCATCGCATTTTGCAATGCAGTATCCACCACATGCTACGTACATGTACTTTCTAAAATAAATCGCACACTGTGTGATGCAAAATGCGCAGGGCTTTCCAATGTCCATGCTGTAATAATGCTTGAAACAATAATTCCATTTACATATACATGTACAGATACAGCGGGGCACAGTGTCCTTTGAAATACACAAATGCAGAAATCCAGTCTGTGAGTTGACTTCATGCAACTCTGTTCACTTAAGATAGCCGATGTACATGTAGGGAACCAGCTACACTCAGGCATTTTGCAAGTGGCGCAGGTGTGCATTATGCAGCATGTACATGTACATGTATGTACATGACAGACCAAAAACACGCATTGTTTTGCATCTCACAGTTGGACATTGTGTTAAGTCTGACTTCTAAACGAGTCAAAATAGAAAGTCAAAGTGGTGGAAATGAAAATAAATGAAGGGTAAAAAACAAGTTTGACTGATACTGGCTTGAAGAAAAAGTGATGAATGTTTCGTTTTGGACTAACATTACCTACGCTTTACGAAAGACTAATGTAAAACATAGTACATGGTATACTGCCAGATAGTACCTTTCACTAGTAAGCCATCACTAGCCACAAGACAACTAACACGTGTTCACACCCATACCTGTTTTACATACAAAGTGTGGACATTTCTTTGTTCTCCTGTGGATAAGGAAACTTGAGGAAAATGCTCCTTTTCTCTAATAGGATAACTCCCTCGAGCTGGATTTTTGATGATTTCCTGGACTGATCCTCTTCATTTTGCCACGGATAACCTTGACCCCAAAATAACTCTGTTTTTCAGAGAGGGGGAAACGTGTGGACATGTGCGAGTCCACACTACGCCATCGGACCCTCCATTATGTGGACTTCTTTTGTGCAGAGGTTCACACTATGTATGCCATGCCAGCACACTCTTGCTAGCGAAATCAAGGCCAGATTCTTTCAATAGTAAAGTTTAGGCCAAAAAATTAGTTCTGCTTTGGTTTCCTAACCAACCCTAATCTCTCGGTGCGAACCTGAGATTTTTACTGGCAATTAGAAAAACAGTTTTTAAGAAACATTGAAAAATCTTGTTGTCTTTTTGCCTGCACAACACCTATCAACAACTATTTTCACATTAAAATACTAAAATTTATGTTTGCCTAATTACATTTGCAATTTTTGAATTGAAAGTTCCGTTATTATCTAAAGGTCCCTCCATGTTTTGCTATTGTGGTGGTGAAAACACCTGGCGATAATGCTCAATGCATCAAACAGATTTGTAACTTGGACAAAAAAACAAGGAAATTCCCACCTTTACAAAACTTCCTACAGTTTTTTCAATTTTCAACGGCATGAGTGTGAAGTGAAAAACGAGGAAATCAGCTGATCCAAGGAAAAGTTGCATGACTGATAGAAGCATTGCTGCACTGGTTCCCACCATGCCATTGCCACAGAAGGCATGATGGAAATGCAGCAACCAGTCTAGGCATCCCAGCCACAATAGCGTTGTTACATTACATGCATGCAGCTCTACAGCTGCACGAAGAAATAAAAATATTTGTACATTCAATCAATGACCGGGATTCGCTTTTCTAGCAGCCATGTCCAGTTCCACTCATTTTTCACCTTGATTTGATGTCTTATAATATGTCTGCTCTTTCTAAAATTTCCATATTTTGACAAAATCTGTTGCATGATATAAGAGAATTTTTACTCCAAACAGCACACAATTAGGTTGTAGACACCGATCAACAGCTTGTCCTGTGAAAACACACATGCACAACCATAATGTTCCTGGCTTGTTTTGTACAATATTCCCATTCATACAATCACTGCAATCGAGAACCACTGACTGACACAATACAATAGTCTTGACTTCAAGGCTTAATGTGCTCGGCACACTAACCGATACAGCAAGCACAAATCGACTCATCCAATAAGTGCATTCCGACATGTTGGTACAAGTATGAGTGGCGCTGCTGGAACTCTGGTAGTTTTGACAATAAGGGCATGCAGGTGCAGGCAGCGCGTGCAGCATTGCATGCAAGCTGGTCAGCCTTGCTTTTAAGGCTACTAAAGGGACAGAGCTATAAATGCATACCGTTGATGTAATGCGTGACCATCATTGAATTCGAGATGCATTAGAAATGACAATTAACACATTCCCATTTGTGATTTCTTTTCCAGCCTTTTCTTTAGAGCCGAAAGGAAAAAAAAAGAAAACAGAATTTCGGGGATCTGTTTGAAAACCAGATACAAATAAAACCAGAAAAGTGACATCTACTAATAGATTAAATCTTTGCTAAATCGAATATGACCATCAGCAATGGACAGTGCTTTAATTTTGCAGCCTCGACGAGCAGTAATGACGGCTAAAAGGAAGGCCAGCTTCATACCCAAATGAAAAAGGGTAGCTTGTCCCGCTGGTTCAAAAGGGGGGCTAGCCAAAAGTCGAAGGACATCCGCCAGATTCCATGAAGGAACAAGTTGTCTAGTTGAGGCGTTCAATAAACATGCCTTGAAGATGATGCATTGCAGAGTTGTTTGAGATCCATCGGGAAACCAACCGTGGATAGTCGCCAGAGCCATCTACCTTTGGCAGCCAGGGCAGCAGCGTCTTGAGAAAGCCCTGCCTGCTGAAAGGATCATTGGACAATATCCAACACGTTAGGTGTAGGTGAAAAGGATCCAGATGGAGATGGCAAGAGCCGGGTTGGAAAAGCAGGTCATGACACTGAGGGAGCAACAGGGCAATGTCGACTAGCAGCCTTAACCACTTCCTGCCGGGGACTCCGGGATCGGAGACGTATGGTTTATATGGGTGGCCGGGGTCTCCGAAACAGGGCCCTGTAACAATAAACCGTTCTCCGAACAAAAGACCAGGCTGCTGGGCATTACTGACATTTTTCACTCTCAAAAGTGGTGGTAATCCAGCCTTGTTTTGAAACTGTATACCACGGTTTGGGGCATTGAGAGTGAGCGGATTACCATTGGGGACAAAAGCACTCCACCACCGCAGCGATGAGCCACACAGCACCGCTGCACGCTAATCTGGCCCCTATTGAAAAGAGGTCAGCAGTGCACTAAGCCAGGTTTGTGAACAAAAGACAATTATACAACACCGCACAATCTGGGCTCTGTTTACAAGGCTGCTGGCCTGGCTGAAATACTTGGGCGTCAATGAGGGTCACCTGTCAACTTAGAGTAGTGCCTAAAGATTACTTGGTGCGGCTATAAACGACCGTTAAATGAAATGATGAATTTTGAAGGATTTTGAAAACGGAAAAAAATGATATTCATGCCGGCCCAGCATCATCAACGTTGAAAAATACCCCGGCATGAAGTGGTTAAGACGTGGGGAAACCATGGCTGTCTCGACCAGAACAGGGCGATGAGAAGAATTCGGCAATGTTCTTTCTCTATCTTCGACAGGACCCTAGGGATCAGCAAAATGGGGGGAAAGCGTAGGCTAGGAGACCTTCCCATGAGATGCGCAGAGCATCGGTCGCCCAAGCCTGAGGATGCGGGAATCGAGTGCAGAATGTTGGGAGTTGAGTATTCAGATGAGAGGCAAAGAGGTCTACATGCGGTCTGTCGGTTACTTGAAAAAGAGCACAGACCAGCTCTGGCTGAAGAGTCCATTCTGTGAAGTAGATCCCAGAAAACAAAGGGTCGGTGAGCGAGTGCCCCCTTGGCGATTGATGTAGGTGACAGCCGTAGTGTTGTCTGACCGAAATAGAACTGTCTTCTTTGTCAGGAGCGGCAGTAAGTGACCTAGAGCATTGAAGATAGCCTGCAGCTCGAGAACGTTCATGTGTGTTTGTCATATTATTTGTTATTTGTAAATTGCACTTAAATTTCTTCAGGGGCGTGATTTTTTTACGCTCCTTCAGGAGTGCTGAGGAGCGCGGTAGGAGCGCCTGCGCGATCGCGCTCCTTTAACCCCTTCGCTACGGAGGACTACTACTACTGCACAATTGTGTGAGGATTAGTGCATACCACACATACAGTCTATTCACCATGCAGCTGCTGGTTCAATGGGGCCTGCTGCTGGACAAAGCCCTCCATTCAGGGCATACCACAGCCCAGCAGTCGCAGTCAAAATAATCCCGCCGTGAAGGGGTTAAAATGAAGGACTGAATATGCATTGATTTCATGCAATTATGTGAATAAAGCTAAAATTGGCACATTAGGCAATTGCTATGCTAACAAAATATTGCACAGCGGTGTTTGTTGTGCAAATATTGTGAGGAAATTGAACACTAATGTCCAGTTATTCAGAGTACAGGAAACCGAAGAATAAAATTAAAAACAAAAGAGTATCATGTAAACAGTACACACCCTTTCACTGTAATTCGTTTAGGTACCACAAAATTAAAAAATGTAACCATGTGTTTTAACCGAGTCATTGTTCTGCAAGATACATGTAAGTCAAGTCACAAGTTAATTTTTCCCAAATCAAGTCCGAAGTTATTTTTTCACAACTTTCTACATTGTACATGTACATATAATGACAAATGTGTACACTGGCGTGCAAAAGCCTGATCACACCTGCATGCACGATTTCATACAACTGTTTTCCTGTAAAATGTACTGAGTTATGAATAAATTATCAAACCTGTGATGTGTCTTTATTTTAATCAAATAAATTCATTTTTCCAGTGTTTGATAACATTCCTTCCACTCAATAACGACAAAAGTTTCACTACAGCTGTTCACAATGTGTTTAAATGCCATCTTGGATTGCCTCATTAAGCATTCATGAGCACATGAATATCATTATCCTGACTTTCAAACCAATGGCAACAAATTTTGCTCGACG